AAGTTCCTTCTAAATTTTTCTACCCTCTAGTTGAACTTCTTTCTACAGAATCTTTTCCAAGGAGGGCAGAAAGGCAGCAAAGTGGTAAATGCATATAAAACTCTCAAATTCTTGAAATGTGCAAGGAATGCATGTTTGGTTTAGCTCCAACGTCTACAATATCCATCTGTTTTAGAACAAGCAACTGCAAGATTTTCTGATGGAAGCGTGATTTTCATGCTTGCACTCTCTCTTTCAGTAGATATAATATTTCCCATGGTTACGACCTGCACTAAAGACGACGGAAAAGCTGTTATTTCCTCAGGACCGTCAGTTCCCCGTACTCTCCGTGACTCAGGGGAGGGGAGGGTACCGAGAGCTTCCCCAGCCAGATGCTCAGCGGGGCAAGGAAGGCTTGACCTTTTCCTGGCAGCAGGAGCTTCATGAACTTTTCTTTGCATTTGGGCTGCTGCCAAGTGGCCACACACACTACTTTTGCGCTAGTTTGCCCACGGTAAGTCGCTTGTCTGGGTCAGCACTGCAGACCGTAAGGCGAACGCGGGGAACACTTAATCCGCAAAAACGGAACAAGAGGTTGGAGGAAGCGGAGATTTTATTTCTGAAGGTCGGTACGCTCGGGACTTCAAAGCCTAAGAGCTTTTTTGTTTTGTACTGCAAATGTGGAAAAGTTTAGTGTAACATAGTAAGTTCTTCAAGCGCTGCCTGGTAATGTTACTCTAAATAGCCTGCAAGCCGACTGGTCGGAGCAGAGAGTTACTCCTTCCAGGTGCATGCCTGTATAAAAACCTCTGGCGCGTGCATCTGCCCACAGGAAACTTCCAGCGCCCTCCGGCAACAGCAGGTAACCGCCGAGCGGCCCGGCTAACCCCCGCTGACTAACAAAGCACATACATTGGTCTGAATTCCTCTGTTTCAGGTCAGCTGTGCTAGCCAAGGAAACCCAGCTCACCTAACCCCTACTGTTTCACGAGGAGTGACTGTAATTGCTCTTTTTCAGTATTTGCATGCATTTACCTTGTGGACTCAGATATCATACAGGTGTACTATAGTGATGTTCCTAGCAGTAATATTTCCTTTATTTTCTAGCATTTATATTCATCTTCTTATAATGCTTTTTTTTGATTCAGTGCATGAGAACATGAGAAAATTGCAGAAGCGGTAAGAAACACAGACGTTTGTGCACGGTGTGAGTGTATGGCTAAGCCCTTTCTCGCAAAGAACACACTGCAGCTGCATTTCCCATGTGAGCGAATGGAATTGGCTTTTGCCCAAATAATTCAGACTAAAACAGACTACACCATGTAACTTTGGGCAGAGGTGAGAGAAACACATTTCAGCAGAGTTGAGTTTACAGCTGAAGACCCAGTGACACACTACTGCTCACTAACCTACTTTTTTTTCTTTTGGTGGGGGCCACGTAGCTAGATTTGAAAAGCTCTTTCCAAGCTTTGGATTTTGGAAGTTCAGAGGCACAAAGTTTATTCTTGTAGGGGATAAACTTACCTTAAGGTTTATCATCATCTTACAATTTACCCTTCAGTGTTTACTTACCTCGTTAATTTTACATCGCATTGTCAAATAAATATAATTTTGTGAATTATTCTTTCTTCCTTAGGTTCTGAAGAAATCAAATGTGATTTTGTAAGCTGTTTTGTTCACAACAGTTTAAGACTGTTAGTGAAGTCAATACCAGTTTAAAAACTTTGGAAAGCGCAGAATTTAATGATGATTTCCCTCAGGATCATTTTGCAAAGAAATCAGCTACTAACACTCAGAAAGAGCCAACATTTTCTAAAGGAACGGATTTTGGTTGGACTCTGTGATCTTAAGGGTCTTTTCCAACCTTAACGATTCTATGATTATTATATTAAATCAAAATGCTTTTAGAGATGTACCATTTTCAGTGAAATATGGATCAGAAAAATGTCAATAGTAAGAAATGTCAGTATCTACAGTTCTAGAAGCACAGCAGCAACTTGGCCATAGTACACATAGGGTATGAAATAATGCAAACACCACCTATCTGCTTACTCAACTCTCACTTGTGTCTGTAGTCTTCAGGTACAGTTTGTAATTTAAAATGATAAAATAAAGCTTAAGGCCAAGATGCTAATATACTTGAATTCTTGAAATTATAAGACTAAATCTGTCCTGTAGCTTGCAGCTAAAAAAAGCCTTACTTTTTACTCCGTTATATTATGAAATATATACTTAATAGTTATGGTAGTAGGCTATATAAAAAAAAAAAACACACAAACAAACAAAAACCAACACCACCTTTCTATTTTGCAAAAACCACACCTATGAAAAGATATTATTATAGCATCTAGAAGCCCCAGTCATAAACCAGAGCCCAATGTGTTAGGTTACATAAAAATGCAAAGTACATAATCTTTATTATTTATGCCTCCAGTTTACCATCTAAGAACTCAGGCAACTGGTGGACTTAAGGACCACACCAGTCTCACCACAGTATCAGTGTAACCACTAGCCATCTTCTAGACCTCCTGATCATTGTAAGAAGGGATTTACTAAAAACAACAAAGCATCTTTGTAAATATTTAAGCAGACTCCTCTTTTAGAGGAGCTCAAAGGACAAAGCACAAGAAAGCATGGCAATTTTTACTTTGAAAATTTAATGTAGCATGTCTAATTTAATTTAGAATTCAGTCTGTACTGAATCAGTGATAGTGGGGTATATATATGTATCATGATCAGAGATGCAATTGTATTTACTGCAAGTACTTAACAGTGGATCAACAAATGTAAAATTTACTAAGCTTGTTTCCAAGCTATTTTGTGGTATGCACTGCTATGCATTGCCAACTGAAATTCTGACCTGTTGCAGTAAGACCTTATCTAAGCAAAGAAGAAAAAGAATACAGAAGGATCACTTTCTACTCAAACCGACAAGTTAAACAGTTCACTCAATTAAACAAGCTTTTCTGTTTTTTACATATAAGGGTACTGGACAATGCAAAGTTTCCCCCTGCTTTGTAACTTCAGGATTGGTCTTTTTCTTAAATAGTACAGATTTCATGCTACAAGAGTCTTACCAAATGAAAAAAAAAAAGCCACCACAAAAACACAAACCGAAAACAAACCCAAAAAACCCCTAAAACAAAACCAAACTTAGAAAACATAGTGCTTTGCATGTTTAAATATGAAATGTTCAGAAGACTGGGTCTTCAAGTAAGTGTTTTCTGGCTGTAGCCACCACCAGTTCTGACATTCTTCTCTTTTCATTACACAGCTTGCCAATTACACAAGTCTTAATATATTTTCCCAGAGATTTCCTAAAACATTAAAACATGACCAGATTTTATTCTAGCTCAAGGTATGAAAAAGACGCATTGCTGAAAACTGGAAGTATACTTTTGATTATATGAGATTGCATGGAAACCATTGCTGTTGTAAGGAGGCACACTTTCACGTGTGAAACGTGAACATGGATACATTCACTTGTATGTCAGGGAATGCTGTAACTCCAGCGTTATCTTCAGTCTCGTATCTACCATCATCATATCTCAAATTATACACAAAAGGTGCATAGCCAGAACTTGTTACTAGCTAGATGGAGGCTCTCTGACGAAAATAAAATAGTAAAAAAAAGAAACAAACCATCTGCAGAAATCTATTTACTTTAAAGCACTTTCTTTTCTGAAACAGTACAAAATCACTGCTATGAGTGAACAAATGCAGTGCTAGAGGAGTCAGAACACAAATCCTGTCCTTGTGAATAAGCATAATAGCAATAAGGAATATATCAGGTATCAGTAAAATTGCAATGGTGTCAATACGTGTGCAAATAAACCACCCACACAAGTCAGCGGTCACTCTCTGCGGACCCCCCCGGCCGCTGCCAAACCTCTCCCCCTTCTGACCAGGATATCTAGAACAGCCACCTGCAGCATGATGCAACCCAAATTATACAACGCTTTGTCTGCAATGCACGTGGCTGGAGAGAGCAAACACATACGCATTCTCAAAAATGAGCAGAATAAGGCCAATCATGGATAAAAACGTAGCACGCTCCAGCCATCACGGTACACGAGAAGGGTGAACTTGTACAGCCTCTGGTCACAGCAAGTTATGAACCACTTTTTTTTCCTCTTTATACATACATATGTGTGTCTATATACACACACACACACAGGTGCTATCACTGAAGAAAACTCTAGTTAAGTGAAAAGTTTCACTGGCATATTTCTCCCCAGGCAAATTTAGATCCCGTTCTACTCCTGCTTTTACTGCTTGTTAGCTGGTACCAAGCAGTTCCTTCTTATGTTGGGTGCTGCCCTGTACACCGAAGATGCAGTCATTCATGACACACACAGCGTTCTCCAGAAAAGCTTACCAATCCAAACTTCTCACAGCAATTATTTCCTGACCGCAACCTGCATACTCTGCAGTTCACCACATTTCAGGGTAATTCAATTAGCTGTTCTACAGGAAAAGGCAGAGAAGAGAAGGCAACTGTATACAAGGAGACAAAGTCAAGAGTACCGGCTGCAGCAAATTAACCAGTTTCATCGCAAGAATGCCAAGTCCCCAGTTCTTTGGGAAATGGTAAATTACACAGATAAGAAGTCATAGACATTAAAAGACAGTTCATCTTTCTCAGCTGCTGCTTCAGCTGATAAGAGTCCCATGCAAGTACCTTACTTTTCATACTGATTAGTGGCATCCATTTAGTGATATAATGCTAAGACTTTGCACAAATGATAAACGTGATAAAATAATAAGTACGATAAACATGACAAAATAAAGACTCATAGCATTACTGCATTGCCAGAAAGTGCTCACAGCAACTTCCAGTGGAGCGGGGATGCCACCTCTCATCGCGGCGTCCTGTCCCTTCAACCTCTCATTGAAAAACCCCCAAAACCAAAGCCCACCCAAACTACTCACTGTCTTCTTCCAATTGTATCTCATACAAAGAGAGTGGCCCCAAGCTTTTTACAACATTATTTTCCCCCTTCCATTTCAGCTCTTTTGCCATGATCACTGCACAGCAGCCACCGTTCCCCAACAAAATTCAAAGAGTCATGGACTGCCAAACTGAGGAAGAAGAAACCTGTGAAGAGCAGTACGACTCTGAAAACTGCACTTGCGGCTCCAAGTGTGCATCATCAACAGCAGAATCCGACTCAGGTTTAAACCAATTTAAATACTGCAATTGCCATGGCATGCTAGCATTTCATACTTTCATTTTTCTCAGTCTTTAAGTAGTAGATGTCACCATGTCACTTTTCCTTTTGATCTCTATTTTTTTTTCCACTATTTCCCCTTATGTTTGTATTTATTATCAGACCAAATTTACAAAAAGTATTATCTCTATAATTAAGATGTATGCTTAAAAAGGTCTCAGGATTTTATTTAATTATTTCTCAATTACAGTCAGAGATATGATTACAATTAATTGGGCTGGCACTGTTGAAGCTGTGGTATTACAAATTTCAGCAGGCTAAACTGTTCAAACACCTACCAAAGACTCCAGACAGGCATCAATTAAAATCCATGCAAGCCAGAGCAAAATTTTTCTTTGCAGTTAAAGATAATTTTGTATCACCTATGCATATCCTGCTAACAGGCTTCCCACAACAGTACCGTGATTCAGAAGTGTCCTTGTCTTCAGTGAGATCAGCTGGAACAGTTCAGCAGAGCTCTCCTGAAAAATCTCACCACCAAGCCCACTTGCTATGATGAGACATGCTAGCACAACTGTAGTACTGACACTCGCTGAACAGCACCGTACATGCCAACAAAAAGAGTATCTTACAACCCTCCTTTTGTGGAAGAATGGTTAAAAACTAACCACTAAAAAGAGCTAGGTTTTCTTCAGTGTAAGAGTTAAATCCTAAATCCTTCTTTTGTAGGAAGAAGCTTAATGTTCTAAATCTGTTGGCCTCACAAATGAAAACTACAGCACAGCCCCCTACATGGCATACTCCAGCACAGTATGAACTACGGCATACCCCAAAATACAAGATAACTTGGTCCTGAAAGACTTCTAGCTGTTATTAGCCGAGTTATATATTTGAATTAGTAGATTTTTCTAAAAGGCTCATTTCTGTCTGTAAATTGCCCACACAAACACTCAGAATGGCAGGAAACGACTGCTGCTCCTTCTGCTCCCTGGCCAGCCAGACCACCCACATCTGGACAGCAACCAGTCTCGAGGCCAACAGCCTGACGGCTTTTCTAGTCCAAGTGCCTACGTACTATCATCACAAAATACTTTTTAACAAGTTTCATATAAACACCTGCATATAAAAATACAAATTGTGTCCTTTCTTTCACAGATTCACCAGTAATTCTCAAAATACTACAGAACTGGGTTCCTAGAGTTTCCCACTACTTCGATAAAGAGCACTACACATACGTGGGCCACCAGATCGTCATTCAGGAGTCCATAGAACACTTTGGAGCCGTGGTGTGGCCGGGGGTAAGTACATCATACGGCGCCCAGAAAGCTGACACAACAGAAGAGTAAACCATGACAGTGGCACACAAATATTAAGGAAGCTTTCTTAGATGACTCTTCTGACAGCGGAGGTTTGCCTATGCAGAACGAAGTTGTGAAGTACTTCAGCAGAAAGCTCTGCTCTCTGCTAATTTGCCCGTTCATGCCGAAAGAACTGTGGCACCTAAGTATCTGTAAACAAGATACTGAAAAAAATTAAGAAAGGGAACTCAGGAAAAAGTGTTCAGCTTCTTCCATGTTTCAAATCAGTCACTGTTGGGAAACAAACAATCAGCAGTACAAAAAGGAGGCTGAAAAAGAAAATTGCAAGAGATTAAATAAAGGAGTTTAAAACAATTAAATATGCTTCTTTTAAAGAACAGGCTAGAACAGTTCCATTGTGGTGTGGAAAACCACACTTGCATACAGTTCTTCAGTCTTTGCTTCTCCTGCTCTTAAAAACAGAATTTTGTGTGGACTGAGTAAACTGCCTTTGAGGGAAGAGAGGGTCAACTGATAAAGACATGAAAATTAGGATTTCAAAATTTTTCAGATCCACATTTATTGAAAAAGCTCACAGAAAATGGCAGACAATTTCAAAACAATAGAGAAAAAGAAAGCGTATGGGTGGGTGAAACAGTATCTCATTTTGAAATGTCAGATCATCAGTTCTCACGTTAATCAGGTGTCAGAATGCAGATGGTAAAACTTTCCAGGAAAATCGAGAGGTTGCACAAATTGGACTGGTGATTCATTAGCTGTCAGCTTTCCCAGAGCAGGTAGCCAGTGTTGCATTATGAAAAGCACAAGAGTTAAAACAGTAACAGTAACACAAGTCTAAAGATGAGAAGCAAAAGGAGGAACGTAGTTTCTTTGGCATCGGTTTATGTTCTTTATAAACAGCCGCCTTATGTTCTATTGATAAGATATTTACAAAGGTCTGATAACCAATACTTCCATACAGCACAGTTATCTTTGTTTTGTTTGGTTTTTTTCAAAAGTTTATCCTATTGATAATAGACAACAGTTAGTAGATAACAAATTTTTAATATTTCCTTTGAAAAAAAAAATTAAGAACAAACAAGAAAAAAATTGGTTTTCAAAAAATCTCTGCTGAAGCCTGAATCTACTTTATAATAGTAATAATAAACCATAACGTTTATTATAATAAACCAGAACATTACTTTTTACATATCATTAAATCTCCTGTTTGCTGTTCTGACTGTATGGTTCACATCTAAACATTGCCTATCTTGAGCTGCCAGAGGACTCACAGTATATGGAAGTGTGTAGCAAATCCATATCCCATAAACCTAAAACTAAAAATAAGCTGTTTAATTTTTTTTTCTAAACTAAAAAAAAAGGACACATGATAATTCTTTCCATTTTATATTTTTATGTTACAGCCTTCAGTGTTTTTCATTGTATTAAAAAACCCCCTGTATAAAAACATCTAATGAATTTTTGTGCAACTTACCTGTTACCCTCTTATGGATGTGTTAACTGTTTTAGGCACTGGCTTTATCTCAATATCTGGAATCAAATCAAGAACAATTCAACCTCAAAGACAAGAAAGTTTTGGAAATTGGTGCTGGAACAGGCTTGGTTTCCATTGTGGCCTGTATCTTAGGTTAGTAAATTTCTATTTCCTTTTGGGTTTGTTGTGAGACATGATCTAGATCTGCCACTGTCACTTTAAGGCAATGAAGCAACAGTTGAAGTAAACTTTGTTTGTCACTGCTTTTTTTAAAATGAAAATTATTGTAAAATACTGTTTTGCTAATAAAGTAACTACCCTAGTTATAGGTGAGGGGGAAGCCAGGGAAATTATGTAGATAAAGTTTTATATATATATGTATGTTCAACTACGTATCTATGAATTGAAACAAATTCATGTTTTCTTTAGGAGCTTACGTTACAGCTACTGATTTGCCTGAAGTTCTTGAGAATCTCTCATATAATATTTCAAGAAATACACAGAACACGAATATGCACAAACCTGAAGTGAGAAAACTGGTATGGGGAGAAGGCCTCAATGAAGACTTCCCTCTATCAACTTACCATTATGATTTCATACTGGCAACTGATGTTGTATACCATCATACAGCTCTGGACCCCCTGCTAGCAACAATGGTGTATTTTTGTAAGCCAGGAACAGTATTACTATGGGCAAATAAATTTAGATTCAGTACAGACTATGAATTTTTGGAAAAACTTGGCAATATATTTAACACAACCATTCTAGCAGAATTTCCAGAATCAAATGTCAAGCTGCTTAAAGCCACAGTAAGAGAGAATTAAAGAGAAAACTATTGATAATTTTGATTTAATAGGAGCACCTTACAGTTTGGAATGTTTTGCAGCATTACGGTGCACCTTCTGTGCATTCATGTTTGTAAAGTTGCAGTTGTATACGAGTTTTGCATTATAAGTTATGCAGAAACTGGCAAGACAAATGATATAGCAATTTGTCTCTGATTGATACCTACGACCTGTTCAAACAGACCAATTCCACTCCACTGAAGGAACAATGTTAGTAGTAATAGTTAGTAAAAAGGCTTTAACAGAAAGCATTGATCTTCTGGGCCGCACTGAACTTCTGTTGTTTGTAAGGTGTTTTTCTTTCAGCAAGTTTCATTTATATACTCTTTTAGAAACCAGTACAATTTTCAGCTTCATTATTTGTTTTTATTAATCATAAAATAATCTTTTAAAGTATCAGAGTGCACATGGTGTTTTTTGATCTTCAACTTTGCACATTTATTCTGCTGTGTTTTACATTTTTAACATTATTAAACATATATGTATAGCTTTACAGTAAATACCTGATCAAGATTTAATGGTCTGGCACTTTTATACACGTATCAGCCTGCACTGATACTCAACTTCACATGGATATTTGAGTTTGCCTGAAATCACTCCAAAATGAAGATTTACAAGAGCACCTATGCATTAGCAATTCCGAGTTACGCATTGTAACGGTTTGAGAGGTTGAATTTTTCTTAAAAAAATTAAATGTAAACTCTTGCAAACAATACAGGTAATGATGTCCTGTGACTTTAGTCTAATAAATAAGATTTTAGCTACTCTTGAAGTAGCTTTAAGGCCTTCATACAATTGAAATTAAGATCAAACATGTTAAAATTCAGTTTACTGTAAAAAATACAGAGCTTTTACAGGTTTGCAGTTAAAAGTAACAGTTAAGAACCTAACATGCATGCAGTAAGCCTTTCCAGCCTAATTCCAAATCCTTGGTGTTGGCAGTTCTGGCACATCCATTGCCAGCAATGGGATGCACAATAAGGAAACTCCCTGATGACAGGAGTTAGGTTAACAGGTATTAAGCTGTACCCAGGTGCCTTTACTGATAAATACACACAATTTGATAATCAGCATTCAGTAATGAAAACATGCGTTCCAATAAAAAGTCGAACTTATCTTTTCATATTCTGCCCATATAAAATCACTTTAAGTTTACAGTTGTTGGTTTTCTAGAATACACAATAATCAGGTGGATACATGACAGGAAGCCAATTTTCAGTGAAAGTTGCACAATGAGTCCATCCAAGCAACTTCATTAGCTGAAGAAAAAAAAGCAAACATTAAAAAAAAAAAATGAGAAGCTCTAGGGTCTTGTTCTTTTTAAAATCTAAATCCTTCCAACAAACACTGCACAGATATCAACATCTTACTGAAGATGTCTATTATCAGAAAGATAACAGATTGGAGAACTGGTGATCTTTGATTTACTTAGTCCTGAAAGGGGAAAAAGAAAACCATTCTATATGATCTACCATCTTTCAACTCAATACACAAAAATTTTGTCCTAGGAGCTAAAGAAATTCCCATTAATTCTCCACCTATATTCTGCTAGCAATAATTGTGATTAATAGTAAAATAATAGTGGTCAAACAGCAACATAATGGGATTTTAAATATGCAGAAGATCTTTGGCTAAGTTGTGTCTACTTTCTTTATGCCCCAAAGTAAGTTCCAGAAAGTAAATCTGCTAAAAATGACAGTTACTCACAAACTGGCTATTCTAGAAGAAGAAAGAAGAAATCACTGTTAAAAATGGAGGCCAAGCCACAAAAGCCTGGATAAAGTTAAGATGTTAAGTTTAGCGACTTCTACAATGTAAAAGGTATCAAAAATTCAAAAAGACTTATATCTTACTTTTAAAAGCTTACTCAGCGTGAGCATAGGCCCTTACTTTTCCAAATGCACCTTACCTGAATGCAGTTTTTCAAGTTGTCCTTTGTTGGCTTCTCTTCTGCAAGTTTTGTGGCAAACTTGAGACCTCTCCCATACATTTTATTTACCAATGCATGCTTATAGGCAAAAGTCAAAACCTACAATGCGAAAACAAAAACAAATTAGATATTTTAATATTTTAATCTTACAAGGCTTAACAAGTAATAGCAGATTCTGGTCAGATAGCAGAAGTGATTTAAACAAAGTAAAACACACAAGATAGCTTGCATTTTTCTTCGCAGTAAAACAGATGATTCACAGTAGTAGTTATAAACATGAACTTCCTAGAGACTACTTCTGACTTCAGAACATCTTACGTAACACAGATGTCACTACTCTAGTTTTTTTATTCATCGCATTTCTAGCTTCTTTGGATCTTCATTCTCTAGAGGGAACTGTATAGTATTAAAAAAAAAAAAAATCAAGAAACAGGCAGGTATATCTTTGACCCACAGAAACGAAGACCCAATTGAGAGTTTTGATTCACAAACTTACTGCAGAAACAAGTATGAATGTACATAGTGAATGATATATATACACACACACACACACAGAGAAATGCACATAATTATAAACAAGCAATGAAGACAGGTAAGCATGAAGACAAACCTCAGGTTTTGGGTCAGCTCCTCACTATTGGTGATTTATTAAGAAGAGATTATTAAAAAAAGATTCCTCTTAATAATACTAATTCTAAAGAGACAGCTTACAATACTTGTCAATGCTATAACTAATATGCACAAATGAATGTGTCTAATTAAGAGTGAATGTAAAATAAATCAGGTTCTTAACACCCAAACAGTGACAGCGTTCAGGGTGTTGCAAGATAGTTCATACCATTTCACTAGTTACAGCACTAAGAATTAGTGCAATCAAGACATTGTTTCATATATTCCCTTTGGTACACTCATAGCAAATAGCTTTTTTTTAATTTTTTATTGAAGAGTGACATAGCAGCAAAGTTGGTGAATATGGTGGTGTTTCTGTTGTTGGCAAAGTTTATGAAATCTCGTATTAAGAGTTTGCTATTCATTTTCCCTCACTCATTACAATATTTTTCCTTTCCTCTGTCATCTCCAACAAAAGTTACATTTTCCCAATGTCCACTTAAAATATCCCATTAAGAAAAGCTAACAAAAACACTTCAAGAATGTTTAGAAATAAATATTTTGCATTACAGCAAAGAAAATTTAAATATTTCTTAAGAACATAAACATTAAGGAATCCAAGATCCAAATCCTGCAAGGACTGAAGAACCTGCCTAATTTTAGCTGCCTGAACACCTCCCCTGAATGTTAATCACAAGCACAAGTCTTTGCAGGGTCAATACTTAAAAGACTGAGCTAAAAAAAAAAGAAATAACAAGCTTAATCATCAAGCAAAGGTGTAAGTCTGAAGCTCTGAAGTATATGCCAAGCAGAGTTGCTCATTCTTCTGTCTTCAAGTACTTATTTTGTTGTGTTGAAGTACTCACTTAAGCTGTTGTAGCTTAAAACACACACATATATGCAACAATGAGCATACAGCACCACTCACATATAGATTTTCCAAATATTGCTATTGGAAAAATACTTTGCATGCTGCATTCTCAATCCAATTATTTTGGATATTTTCCTAAAGCAAAACACATCAGCAAACACTTCTGAATAACTGCTCAGTGGATCCATTAGCGGATTTACTTGGTTACTAAACTTAAAAAAAAAATCCCTTCTGTGAAAGATGATAGAACCACAAAACCAAACCAAAAACAAAACAAAAAAATCAAATGAAAAATGCATTGGAGCTCTCAGCAAATATAACATATCGGAGGCTAACCAGAAATAATGTCACTGCTCTATTAAGAAAGCTCTTACCTGACCCTGTAAGTTTTGAATGGTTATTGAACATCAGTGATAAAGGCAGGAGGAAAGCCACTTGACAGCATTTCTTTTCGTAACAGGGCTTCCTAGAGTTTTTGTGGCAAGAAAACAAAGCATTTTACGAAACACCCTTGCTCTGGCCAAATAAAAGTTTGGGTATTTCTAAATGAGAAAAAGTTCTCTGCTGGACCAAAAGGTTGAAAACAATGCTCCAAGAGCTCTTGATAAATGACAATAATTTCTGTCTTAGTGCTTGGAAAAAAAACCCAATCAACTGTATACAAGTTAAGTAAAACTACTAGAAATTCATTAGCACTTCAGAAGTTAAGAATAATGCATGAGATGCTTTAAAATCAGAATAAATTTACAAACAAAAAAGTGTTAGATAAGAAATAATACTTTATAACTTGTACACATATTGGTCAAATTAAGCCTTATAATTAAAATACTGCAAGCTTTACAAGATCACAAAAGTGAAGATTATGGTTCCTTGATATGGGTAAACAAAACAAACTGGAGTGCTATTAAGATGTAACAGAGAAAACAGCTGCTACCTGAATGTATAACAACAGCAAATAAACCAATTTGTAGTATCTAAAAGCAGTTGCCAGATGAAAGAATAGGAATGAATTCTATGTATTTGATATTATTTCATAATGTCAATAAATATAATTAAGGCTAGCTTTTACAGAACAAGTGGCCCAGAAATTAGCCAAAGAGCAATAAACAAAAGGTAATAAGAAAAGGCAATGCATACTTCTAGGATACAGGGCCGGGGAAATCACTGTTAGATACTTTGTTCCCCAAGCTAATGGCTTGTAATACTAAGTATGCTAAGAGCCAGACCCACGAAAGCGGTTGGATGTTCATCTCCTAATTAGCTGCGTAATTTGCCACTGGCTGCATAAAGATAAGTATTCAGGACAGTAAAATGCTGAAATGATCTCTCTCTCAAGACATTCGCAGGGTTACAGTATTTAAAAGCCTGAAAATACTCTTTAAAAAAATAACACTTTTTGAATCCAGCAAGACTAAACTACCTAATAAAACTTTTCTAGTATCCTAATACTGTTACCTATGAAAAGGAAAAGACTTGTATGATCAGTTACTTCATTATTTAAACAGTTTATTAAAATGTACCTACATTTACAAATAATTCAAATACTAGTTTAAGCGATATAATCCATAGATAACACACTCCAACTACTTCTAAGAACACCGAAGTCATAATATTTATAATTACCAGCAAACAAGTTTTTCAGGTTCATATACATCCATGGTAATAAACTAAGGTTTCTTAGCTATGTTTGTCGACTCCTCTCTGCTCTATCCACTGGCCTATTACAAATAAAAGCAATATTCATATAAAAAATGGATCCATTGTATGTTCAAGATAGGGAGGGGAGTTAAGGGAATCAAGTATTCAGCAACAAGTTTTTGGCAGTGGCTGAATACGATCAGCTGGAAGAGACAGCTACATCTGACAGTGCACAGTAATATGAAAAATAATCCAGCTAAAGACATTTAAATGACAAGATGGAAAGGTCTGGGCCTTTTATTTGTTTTTAAACATGACTTTTTGCTTATCCTCAACAGCTAGTTTAAAGGTTGAGGGGCATTAAGTTATACAGATTAGTCATTCCCAGAAATAAACAGGCAACATCCTACTACTCTCCTGTAGCAATTTTGTTTAAAACTGGGGATTTTGGCCTGCAAATTTTAAAGCTATGTTCTAGGTAAAAGAAAAATTGCACAATTTATATTCCATTACTAAAAACCCTAAAGCAATATCACAAATATGTTAGCATAATCAAATACTTGCTGCATTGAGCTGTCTCAGCTGGAGTTTATTTGAATCACTTTTGCATACACAGGGGACACAAATATTTTCTTTCGTGTTTCATTTAAAATAAACTTTCAGAGACAAGTGATTTAACTAGAATAGCTGAAAGCGTGAACAAACACATTTACTATCAAAAGTCAGCACCAGCTTCCCTACATACTTGCTGTAGTACGGGGACAAGCACAATACTTCAATGGAAAACAGGCAGTTCAAAGGAACTAATGAATTCCCTGTGCCAATACAGGTGTTACACCTGCAGAGGGGTGGTGAAACAAGTGATAGTACTTGGTCTACTAGAGGGTGAGCAGAAACACACAGAGAAGGGATTATGTTCCTGATTAATCTTTAAAAACAACATTGAAGAAAACATGGTCTTTCTTTGTGTTCAAGAATTCACTTAGCCTTTTCATTACTCACATCTGGATGAACTTTGACTTACAGGAAGCTTAGAAGTAAAAACACTTGGAGCAATATTTCTATCTAAAGCCAGATGTATACTTGAATGATCAGTGCAGTATTCAAGTGCCTTATTTCCATCCTTTCTCACCCAGTTCCATCTTTTGAGTGCCGATGCCACAAAGCCATGTCCGCGCACAGGAAGAGCTCCACGTTTTCGTTTCCAGCACAGTGCTTTAGAATAAGCTGGCTGCCTCTTGAGGACTCTCATTTGAAGGACATTCACACAAGGTCTGTCCCTGATCCTACATCACTACTCCACTCTGCCCTTCCTCCTTCCAGACCTCTCCTATTCCCCAGAAGGCAAATGAGTCATGCAAGGTTAGGTGACAGAGCCAAGTCACAACACTTCATTTTATCAGTCCAGTCTAAGTCAGTCTAGAGTAGCATCACAGAAAGGCTGTTAAAGCCATAATTTCTTGTTTTCTACCAAGGTGAATTTGCCAAGCACAAATCAGCTGGACTGAAGAACATAATCAATGCTTTTCCCCTTGCCCTAGCAAAAATACTTGTTTCTGAGACAAAATCTGTTTTGAAGCCTTAAACACTACTTCTCAAAATTAAGTCCTCAACATTGTTCCTAAACTCCCTGTGTCAAAGGAAGCAAGCTACATGAACGGTACAGTTCCCTTTAAACAGTCAAAACTCCACATTTTCCTCTAACAGTCTGTAAAATGAACTTATTTGCACTAAGCTGTTAAATTCATTTTTAAAATAGCAAAATATTCTAGAAGTACAACAGCATATTGCATGCAACGCCGAGGTGGAGATTTATACAAGTATTTCTTCCCAACAGACAGAAGAAGCTGCAAAGGAGGAAGACCAAAGGCCACTGCAGATACTTAAAACATTCTATTGGCCCATCTCTAGGGCAGAAGATGCTTATTTTTATTTGAACAGGAAGCTGAGAGAGCTTTAAGCACAATCCCACTTACAAAACTTGTCAGCCATTATAAATAAAAATGAATGAATACTGATCAGACAGCTGAGGTGGGTGGAATGAAGGAACTGTAAAACATTAAGTTAATTTTTCAAGAAAGGAATATAACTAAATTTTTTTCTAATGCTTTTTTGTGTCAGGCGATATCATAGTTATGTAGTCTTAGTCATTAATAGTGACCCTTAAAAAAAGCTAAATAAAGCATAATTGGATCCTCATCATATGGTTATGATTTAGAATGACCAAAGAACATTCTGTCATTGGCCAACAGTAGTGCCAATGTAGAACTGTAGTGCCAACAACTGAAACAGCTGGTCTGAACAGTGTAATTGCCAGTTCCTAAGAAAACTACTAGATGGACATGACACCTGCTAATAAAGGAAATGAAAGAATATGAGCAGCAGCAAGCATGAAACTTCTAGGAAGCAATAAAGGAAAAACAAAAAAGTTTTATTGAAAATAACTCCCTTTGCCATAGCCCTAGTCCTTTTCTCCAAATCTGTTACCAGGGAAAATCAAGTGCTCTACTATCTCCTTTCAAAGCAAAGTTCTCAATCCCATCAAGGCCCAAGTCACGCTATTCTTATTCCTCATCCCTTTCAAAGAGTTTCCAGAAAAAGAAAACCTCAAAGTATAAAAGTGAAAAACTGAAGTCTCAGTTCCAATAATCATATGAAAGCTTTAAGTAGCAGCATGTATTTCTTTCCCTTCAAACTTTTTTTTTTCTTTATCTATAGGTACTGCTGGGATTAGAATTACTGGACAGTATCATAGGAGAGATGAGAGGTTACATCCATCATGTGATCTTTAGACACATTAAATTGATAACTAGCAAAACTAAGACTACATCATTACTGACACATACACGCTCCCAAAAAGCATGAAGAAAGCCACCATAGAAACTGGTGAGCTACACAAATTATTTGCCAAGCAGTCACTGAATCACAAAATGGTTGAAGGTGGAAGGGAGCTCTGGAGATCATCTAGTCCAAACTCCCGCTCAAGGCAGGGACACCTATAGCAGGTTGCCCTGGATCATGTCCAATTAAGTTTTGACTGCCTCCAGGGACAGACTTCACCACCTCTCCAGGCAACCCACTGTAGCGTTTGATCACTCTCACAGTAAAAAAAATGCACACCCCCCCCCGCCAAAAAAAAAAACCAAAACACCAAAAACCACAGAAAAACCAAAACACAACTTTTTCTTAAGTAGAAGTTCCTGTGTTTTAGTTTGTACCCACTGCCTCTTGTCCTGTCACTGGGAACCACTGGGAAGAGCCTGGATCCATCTTCTTTACTCCCCCCATCATGTACCTATACATATAGACAAAATTTCCTTGAACTTTCTCTTGTCCAGGGCGAACAGTCTCAGCCGCTCCTCATAAAACAGATGCTCCAGTCCTTAATCATCTTTGTGGCCGTCGTAATGCTACTTATACTAGTAATCATAACTGTACTGATACAGGGCAATTTGTCCAGCAGCAAGAGAACACAGAATATAAACTGTATGCAGGGCCAGGCAGGGTGGAGTAAGTGAGGCTACGTATGGGTACAGGACAGAAAGGCTGCAGAAAAGCACAGGACAAAGATGTACCCCAGGGGTCATTAGGATGTAGTATGACAGGCTCATTTTCTCCATTTTCAGAAGCCACTCATTTAAAATACCCAGAGAACTCTAGAACATTTCTAGGCTAAAAGTATCCTCAATGTACTGGGTTTGGCTGGGATAGAGTTAATTTTCTTTACAGTAGCTAGTATGGGGCTATGTTTTGGATTTGTGCTGGAAAGAGTCAAGGCCTTTTCTGCTCCTCACACCACCCCACCAGCCAGCAGACTGGGGGTGCACAAGAAGCTGGGAGGGGACACAGATGGGACAGCTGACCCCAACTGACCAAAGGGATATCCCATACCATGTGATGTCATGCGCAGCATATAAAGCCGGGGGAAGAAGAAGGAAGGGGGGGACATTCAGAGTGATGGCATTTCACGCACGATGGAGCCCTGCTTTCCTGGAGATGGCTGAACGCCTGCCTGCCAATGGGAAGTAGTGAATGAATTCCTTGTTTTGCTTTGCTTGTATGCCCAGCTTTTGCTTTACCTATTAAACCGTCCTTATCTCAACCCATGAGTTATCTTACTTTTATGTTTCCAATTCTTTTCCCCATCCTGCTATGCGGGAGTGAGCAAGTGGCTGTGTAGGGCTCACGACAGTCAATAAGTTTAGAATTCAATTTGACTAGTAAAAAACAAGAGGGAAAAGCAGACAAACATACTGCGTAAACAGGATGGAAATTATTTCCATATGAAATGTTACAAAAATCTAAAAAGTTTTGTTGCCTTTCAGTACCAATTTAACCATACAGAAGCATCAGTTTTCAGAACAAAACCTGAATATGCACTTAGACAAATCCATGGTTAAGGCAGTCAAACAGACAGGTTCAATCCCTAATCTGTGCGATTCAAACCAGTTACTCATTCCAGGTCCAGAGCACACAGCTCAAAAGTGCCAGGAATCAGTATCTGTCTTGAAAAAAAAACCCGTAACAGTGATAAACTCCCAACAAGATGTCTACATTAGCAGTTTTTCCAGTTAAATTATTCCCATCAGGTTTAAAAATCAAAAAACAGAATTAAACCAGGGGTCACTATACTGGAATACAGTACTATATTTACAAATAGACAGCAAGAAAATCATGTGCCAGACAATATGGTTAAAGCACAAAATCTCCTATCACGGGATATTGTAACCAGTTAAAGATTAGAAAAGAAATGCTGAAAAGATATAAGTGTACAAGAATATATACATTAAAAGAAGTGAGGGTAACCACCATCAATGTTCTTGTTCAGGCCTCCAGCTAAAGCACAAGTTCTTACTGTGAAGATTATTTACTGTAAAGGAAATTAAGCAATTTTTTTAATTTCAAAGTTTTTCTTTTGTAACTACCTGAAGTGCTTTGGCAATTTAACTGAATTATAAACAAATACAGCAGTCACTTCATGTTCCACTAAAACACAGCCATATGCAAGAGTTAAGTACAGCAACTAATTAATACTCAATAACTCAACAGTTAAAGTCATAAACTCTGTAAATTAAAAGCTACATAACTAATAACCTACAATTGATTTTTTTTTTCTTCTGGAATAGCTGTCTTGAATGAAGCAGACAAAAACTTAAATCTCAGGATCAGGAACCTTGAAATGACAGGGAAATCTGTGCTAATTAATATGTAAGTGTAATTATTTCCAAGGGTTTCTTCCTTTACCTCTACAGACATTACTGACAGCAAAACACAAAACTTCTCTTGTCCATAGCGTAGAAGAGGCTACAGAATGCAGGACTGAACAGAGTAGGGATGCTGCACACTTCTGTGTGTGTACAGCTAGAACAGCGCAGAGGCTAATCAAAAACATTGCCTGAAAGGTACAGAAAGAAGCAATTCAATAAAACAAGCAGCTTTTTCATGGAAATCTGGTACTGTTCTATACCCTTCCCTTAACCTCTACATTCACATGCACAGGGATGGGCTTACCATGGATTTGACAGGCTTGGCAAAACCTCTGTGGAAAAAGGTCATTAAGGAAGCACAACACATGGGAACAGCATGAAAAAGTAGAAGGGAGGAATGTATGAGGCTGTGCACACAAAGGCGGTGCATAATTCCAGGAGAAACCATCAAAAAACCCAACATGCAAAAGAAAGTCTGCTCTGCTCTCTTACCTTGCTGTCAAAAAGATCAGTCCATTTTGTTGTTTCCCAGAACGTCTCTGTCAAAGCTTCTGAGCAGCTCTCATGATCCTCATCTTTGCCTTCTGCATCACTAGAAGCAGCCCCTTCTTGGGCCTGCAGATGAAGAAGTTGGTCAGCCAGTGCACTTCCTTTTCGACAAAGTGCATCCACTAAAGTAGTCTTCTGTTTTTCCATTTCACTAGAAAAAAAACAGCATGAAAAATATTAAGGACTTCTTGCAGATACCTCATTAAGGACAGAATGAGTGCTGTACTGAGTTTAAGCTAAAAAGTTTACAGCAGTTAGTACACACAAAATTAAAATAAGCATGGAGATAATTTTTAAAGCATAGCTGTTTACTATAAATTAAACTAATTATAAGAAATTACCTAGAGACACTATGCATTAAACAAGCTCAATCATTCTTTTAAGTCTGAAATGCCTTTTATGTCTTAAGGCCAGGGCGACTTAGGATTCTAAAACTGAGTAAGCCAGCATCTAGAAATACAGCTTTATAGTTCTTGGCATTATAAACAGAGAGAGAGTCAAATCCACCACTAACATAAGCAGATACAATTCTGCTGACTTCAAAGGAACTGCACCCATTTAAAGCACCATTGAATTTGGTGTTCAATTTCAGATGTTAGATTCAACCACATGACCTAATGGGTCAACTTACCAAGAAATATTTAGAATGAAGTTTATTAGGTCATAGCTTTGTTTTTTTATCAGCAATTCTAGAATTATACACAAATATTCAGGACAGCTAGAATAGACAGACTAGTTTTACAACCGAAATCTGGTATTTTATCTAAAATAATCAACAAATATGCATCTCCCATTTTAAGGGCCTAATCTTCAAATCTGCTGCTCTATTTGCAACTAAAACAGCACCACACCACACACTGCGAAATCCACCAGTTACTCTCCAGACTAGAGCGTCACCTTCAAAATACTGTCTTCCTAAGGATATATACTGGTAACTCAGAGGAATGATCTAAAACTAAAGAAAAAAAACGGGTCTCAAAAATACTCTGAAGCACAACTATGGTCATCATGCTTTTCACAAATGAAATCTTTTGCAAGCAGTTACTTCTTTGACTGCTGTCAATTTTGTCGACTTCAAATACAGATCCAAAAGGTTGCAAAGTATTATGAAAAGCCAAGTAGCATTCAAAACACACACCTCTATATCACTATTCTAGTGGTCCCTCTGCTCTGAAATTAAGCTTGATATAAAAACTTAATACCCCATTTTTTTGACACATTTAAGTGCTGAAAGCACCCTTGTTTATTTTATTTCATATTTCTAAGTAAAAATTTGCAGGTTTCAGCATTCTGGAGATATAAGAAGAGAATAAAATAATTTTGCAGGCAAGTTTGAAATTACCTGTGCCCCCCAAAATAACACAAGTTATTCAAAAAGGTTATAGTCATTCCATTTCTTATAAGCAAAGACAAAGTACATAGATTACAGAAATAGGATGCAAGAAAATTATTTACTGGGTAGGTACTTTTTTATAGTAGTTGCATCAGGCCTGGGATCAGTCTTCATGGCAAAATATACTGCTAACGCTGTCTGATCAATATGAGAGATTACAGTATTTGCAGCTTCAACAATTTCATCAAGTCTTTTCATTCGTTCCTGAAAGAAGAATTTAAAAAAAAAAAAAAAGTGTTTAGCACTATGAAATCACACTACTTGATTGTTGATTCCACTAACACTAGGATAATTGCAAAGGTATGCAGAAATAATATTAGGTAATTCAACATATTCTTTTCTCCACTTTCCCCAATTTTTGATTCAAAAAAACTTAAAAGAAGTCTGCATTATCAAGATTTCCCGTGTATGTAGTCCACGTCACTGAAAACAAACTGTAAAATCTGAGGTGGGTGTATGCAAAATGCAGAGTTTAAAGAAAGAAAACCACCTTTCAGTACAAATTAATATTCTCAAATTATGGTAGCAGTTACTCATTTCAGACACATATAAAATCACAAATTCAACAGAAAATTATTCAAGCGACTGACACATACACAAAGCTGTTTATCTTCAAGATAAACAAAAAAAGCAGACACGTAAATTTTTCTGTTCATGGTTCTCATTTCTGAGGACAATGACAGATGGGGGATTTAGCTGTGTCATTTCAAGGGGTTACTGTCCTCAGTTGTCTGAGCAATTCTGCTAGAAGAAATTACTGATCCAGTAAAGGAGCAGAATGGGATGCGTGCTTGTCTCAGTAACCACCATTTAGAATAATATGATTGCAGCCAGTAAGGAAATGTACAATGTTTTTAACTTAACAAAGAGTAAACGATAAGCAAACACACTACAGGTAGGCATACTTTCTTCCATTCTGCTCTGGGATTAAGTAAATCACAGTCAGTTAGGGAGGCACCTGTCAATCCAATTAGGAATTTCTACTTTATAGTACTAAGTACAGCTATGGCAGTCACTTCAAGACCAAACATGTATGAAAAAAGATTCAGTTGTTTAGGCTACATGGATGTATTGAGACAAATCAAGTTTAAAAAGTGTTAAATAACCTTTTCAGAATCCAGCTGATGAAGTCTTGCAACGTACAATGGAAGATGATTAGGAAATGCTTCTTTCAACTCATTATACATGTCAGTGGTATCCAGCCTAGAAGAGAGGAGGACATAGCATGAAAGTACAGATTCTGGATATTTTTTTGTACAGCTGCTTCAAGCTTGTGTAATCATGACAGCAGACATACTTGGTCATCCACTGTATTTTTAGATCTCTTAAAGCTTCAGCAAATTCTTCTTTTACATCTTTCTCTTTTTCCTGTTCTCTTTCTTTCTCCTTGCTGCCATTTTTACTCTTTGAAGGTGATGGTATCAGATGATAGTGAACAGTAAGGACATCCTGGAGGTGGGAAAAGAGACATATACTGAGAGGGATACGGTACACTTTTTTTCTGATGCTATATAAAAGTTAAATCATACAAAGCAACTACGCATACACTGAGTAACAACTCTGAGAGCAAAGGTATTAGCCATTAAGAATTCAGGAACTGCTTTAACTTTTTATTTTAAGCAATGCAAGGATGTAAATATTAAAACAGCACACTGGGTGTAAGACAAGAAAGCAAGTTTGACATTTTTGTATTCATATAATTTTACATAATATTAGTTGGGGAATCAGAAGGATGAGGTGTTTTTTTGTTTGTTTATAAAAAAGCAAATAACTTGGTTAAAAGGCAAAGGAAAAAAAAAATCAGTTAGCGATCCTATCCTACAAATCTGGCAACAAACAAATGAATAAACATGACTGAATTCTAAAAAGTAATACCACAGTAGCATAAACATGAATCATGCCATAGGATACACAAGCTTATTCCTCCTGAGACAATTTCTTCCGTGTGCCTACTGAAATAGCTGATGCATCCACAGACAACTGTTTTCCAGTTTGCTGCTACAGACTTCCCAGTTTCACCCATATCTGTACTCTAAGTAGATGCAACAGCAAGATTTTTTTAAACCCTATATGCTAGCATAGAAATATCACTATAGTTTGAGTTCATGCTAGACTAGTCAACAATTACCATGAGAAAAATCAGCTACAGCTATTTAAAAGGAAAATCCTAACTGCTCTTAGACCATGCTCTGAAGTCTATTTCCTAAGATGATTTACATATAAATTTGCAAATAAGCCAACATTAGATTTGTCATTGCTTCTAAAACATTACAACTGCTGGGGGAGGCCATTTTGTTGTTTTTGGGTTTAATGTTGCAATTTTTAAAAAAGGCTCTCCCCAAACAGTGAGGGTACATTATTTTACATATATTTTGCAGAGAGGATCACTTAAGTTTAAATCTTCTAGATACCATTACTCTGTTGCAACATTGTGAAAAATAGTGTTGCATGCTCAACTGCTGTGGCAATTTAATTATTCATACCAGTTATTCCAAAACACATTTGTGAGAATAGATTTCCCATAAACCAGGTCAGTGTTGCATAATGAAATGAAATCTTGTGTGCAAGATGGAGTTATTTCAGGTTACTTAAATAGCGAGTAAAAAGGTGACTGTTAGAAACTGCTAAGCATAACATTGAAATAACGGACTTCAACATTACACTCGTGAAACGATTCAAGAACATTGATGCAGAACAATTTTATTTGAACTGATAGTTCAAACAGACCAGCAGCTTGCTATGGGTTACTGAAAACAATACTGGTAAGAGAAAGTGACATCAATATTCCCTTAAAACAATTTTTCCAGCTACTTAATGTGTAATTACAGATGAACCACAAAATTGACATTTACATTTTTTTTAAAACCTAGTTTGGATCACTAATCTACATTAAAGTGTAGCTTTCACAGGAACTATCCTGCACATGTGCATTTCAAGTATGAAGTGCATGACCAGGCAGCACACCTAAATAAGACTTCGGCAAGACCTATGCCAGAGCATGACAAAACAAGTCATGGAGGCAAGCGTATGTAGTGGAGGATACAGAAGTCAGGAACATGGTATGGGGCTGGCTAAGGTAATTAGAATGTTGAAAGCAACAACCTAGTTCACGAAAGCAAACCAAACATTTTAAGATGCTGAAGAAGTTAGTTCAGTACAAAAATCTGAATCGGTAGTTTACAGTGTTTTATAAAAGACGTCCTCTATTGAGACTAATACTTTCCTAAGAAAGAAACCTGCCTTCCTAGAAATATTCTTCTAATATTTCAGGGTTTCCTTCTTGAAAATCCTCTTCGATCTTACTTGGCAACATGCATTTGAAGTTATGTATCTAACTGGCCTCTGCATTCTAAAGCCTTGCTTATATGAGAAGGCTCTACTACTCCTGGTTTGAGTTTCAAACCAAGTGTAATTAGATTAACAAAATCCCACTTACGTGGATGAACACTTTCATTTAAGAGACTAATTCTATGCAGCTAAACCATCAACAGTAAAATGTCATCTCCCCACTCTCTCAGCTAGACACTTTTGGTCTCATGAGATTCTGCAAGCACTACAAGCTATGACCATTGAAAGGAAAACAATGAGCTCAGACCTAGGCACCCTCCTTTTTCAAAAGGGCTTACAGAAGAAGAGGCACACTCTTCTCTACAGACATCAAACTTATTTCATGGGATAAATAAGGTTTAGGCGCTTATCACATTTAACTAAACTATCACAAGACCATAAGATGGCTTCTTTCTTTTCTCTATTCTGTCCATCAACACTAGCATCATTTATAAAACTTGGCGACCCCCTAGATACCAGAAGATCCCAGAATGACACTGTCATTGCCATCACAGAAATATTCATCATTAGAGATTAAGGAGAAAAAAGGCAACTCTTCACAATTCAATACTTCAATCTGTTTTCTTATTCAAATTTCACTCTTAACTATTCCACAGCAACAGAATTGCTAGAGTAGTGTACTGAATTTGATTTTATATATACCTATAAAAACATATAGAGCTATAGACAGATACAGGCAGCGAGCAAGCATATTATCCATTGAAAAAAATTACTTTAAGAAAACTTTCACATTAATGAGAAAGCTGCCCTTATTTACCCTCTAAAAAAAAAAATCAAGCAATATTAAAAACTTTGGAAGCATATAGGATATGCACTTTGGTCAGTGTACCCTGTGCACAGTTTGGTAAGTCTCAGCGAGTTAACTAGAACTACAAACTGCATACATAAGCAAGTACAGTGCCCTCAAAACAGTCACCTCTGAAAAGAGCTTAATTAACAGTTAATTTTGTTTAAAGATTTAAATTTAGGTTTTTGTCTGATGATTCAACATCTGGTACTTTATGTGGAAAAGACATATGAACTATAGTTATTTGTACTTTTAAGTATTCACAGCAAAACTAACCACAGGAAAAAGCTCCTTGAAGGAACATGTCCCAGGTCTCATTTTCCATTTAATAAATACCATGCATATCTGCATACACACACAGTTGAATGTGCATATAGAATTTGTATCTACTTTAAGACGCATACAATTTGTGTAATGTTGCTTATTTTTATGGCAGTACCCTAATTGAAAATGAATGAAATTTCTTGAAGTCACCAACCAGGCTTACACAAAGTTAAATCAGACAGGTACTTCATCCTGTTTTTGAAGGCCTCCTGATTAAACAAGGGATGTCTTAATGCTCAAAGGAAGTCATCCTTGTACGTTTGACTTCACAATGGTATTTATTAGTCTTCCACTAGTACTTATCAGTATCTGCCTAATGCATTTCTTGCTTCAAATTGGAGGAAAGGATGGCAGAGTAGGGAGAAAGGTGTAGAAATTTTCTATCCCTTAGCTAGTTGTTACATATTGCTTTTCAAAAGCTGCATTATGTAAAACAACAAAAAAATTCTTCTTACAGACCAGAAAAAGTCAATGATCTGTTTTCATTCTAACTATGTTCAGGACAAAACTTGGAGACAAGGGGAAAAAAATAAGCAGATAGTAACTGCATTACAAAAGTTAGGTTGTGAAAGAAGAAAGGTACATAGAACCAATTTGTTTTTCTCACGGCTGTTTAGCACATGCCTCCCCATTAGAGACCCAAGGGCACTTGTAAGGGTACATTAGCTTCTCAAGCCATGACAGTAGGGCACTCTCTACTTCAGTGGGCATCAGCTCAAAGGGAAAACACCACTGAATTCTGAACTTCATACATATCACAGGTTCAGTAGTCAGAGGGAAAGGTTTTTTTGGTTTGTTTGGGTTTTTGTTGTTGTTGGCTTTTTTTAAGTCCAGACATACTGAAGACAGGAAGATATAAAGTAAAAACACATGCCCAAGGGTTGTTTTGGGTTTTGTTTCGGGTTTGGTTTTTTTTTTTTTTAGATAAAATTAAGTTCCCCAGAATCGCTCTTCGAGCAGAAAATTATGGATTAGGCATACAATTCTGCTGTATGTGTCTAGTAAAACAGACACCTGCTTATTCTGTGGAAAGAACCCATTGACATTGTTGTCCAGTTATAAAAGAATTAATTATCCTCTTTGGAAAATTAGGCTGCTATTTCCTGGCATAACCTTAAACTGCTTTCATGCAAAATAGAGAAATTGTCGAAGCGTGGGCTGGATGAGCAGTCAGGTGGATTGAAACCTGCTGAATGGCCAGGCCCAGAGGGTGCTGATCAGCAACACACAGTTGGAGGCCAGTAACTAGCAGTGTATTCCAGGAGTCAATACTGGATCAAATTGTGTTTAGCATCTTCAGTAATGATCTGGATGATGGGGCAGAGCGCACCCTCAGCAAGTTTGCAGATGACACCAAACAGGGAGGAGTGGCTGATACAGCAGAGGGTTGTGCTGCCATCCAAAGGGACCTTAACAGACTGCAGAAATGGGCTGTCAGGAACCTCATGAAGTTCAACAAGGAGAACTGCAAAGTCTTGCACCTGGAGAAGAATAAACCCAGGCACCAGTACATGCTGGGGGCCACCCAGCTGAAAAGCAGCTTGGCAGGAAAGGAGCCAGGGTCCTGATGGACACCAGTTTAAATGTAAGCCAGCAACATGCCCTTGCGGTAAAGAGGGCTAATGGTATCCTGGGCTGTATCAGACATACTACAAGCAGGTTGAGGGAGGTGATCCTTCTGCTCTGCTCTGTACTGGTGAGGCCACACCTGGAGTACCGTGTCCAGTTCTGGGCTCCCCAGTGCAAGAGAGATGTGGGCGTACTGGAGAGAGTCCAGTGAAGGTCCACAAAGATGATGGACTGGAGCATCTCTCCTGAGCAAAGGCTGAGAAAGCTGGGACTGTTCAGCCTAGAGAAGGGAAGGCATTTGGGGATTGATCTCATCAATCTGTAGGGAGGGTGTAAAGAGAAATCCAGGCTCTTTTCAGCGGTGCCCAGTGACAGGACAAGAGGCAATGGCCACAAACACACAGGAGGTTCCCTCTGGACATCAGGAAATATTTTTTCACAGTGGGGGTGACTGAACACCGGGCACAGGCTGCCCAGAGAGATTGTGTAGTCTGCATCCTTGGAGATATTCAAATTTGTCTGGGTATGGTCCTGAGAAACTAGCTCTAGGAGGCCCTGTTTGAGCAGACGGGTTAGACCAGATGACCTCCAGTGGTCCCTTCCAGCCTCAGGCATTCTGTGATTCTGTGAAAATAAAAGTACTTTCAAACAACCAGAAACGCCCACCCTAGATTTCTGGTAGTGTCACGCAGATAGGTGCAAGCTAAGAAGTTCCCTCCCTCCTCAACTAAAAAAAAAAAAAAAAAAAAAAAAAAAAAAAAAAAAAAAAAAAAAAAAAAAAGGCAAAAAAAAAAGCATTCCACATACTAATCCCTGGTATCACACATAAAATAAAAATGGGACTTGTACATTAACACTTCTAATCCTACAAGAAGGCCTGGAATTGTCTGTGAAAAATATGAAAAATCTACACATACCTTTTTGACTGAGTCATATAAACATGTTTTCCATGCTGGAAAACACCTTAACTGCATGTAAACTTATGACAGGGGACGGTAAATATTCAAAACTTGTACAACTAGGAAGCCCTCAGAGCTGCATTCTCAGAAAAATATATTCATTAATGGAGCTCTTATGGATCAATGCTCTGAAATACACAGTGTTTTATTTATTTGCTGCTAGTACGCTAATGCCTCTTATGAATAATAGAAGTATGAAGAAGAACAGTTTTTATTTTGGCTTGGATGGGTATACTGCTCAGATTGAACACAAATCTCTGTTCTAAAAACAAAAGGAAAAACAGAACATGCAACCTCTTGGATCTGTTTTATAGGTTTCGTCATGCAAATTAAATTATGATTAGAGTTTAACTCCCTTGTTAGAGATTCACTTAGTGAAGATTTTATACCATATTCATCAGGAAGCCACACATTCACATGGGGTTTTGAACCATCTTTCTAAAAGTGATCTGCCTAATTTTCAGATGCAGTATGAAAATAAAATTGCAGGAACACACATTAAAATCCTTCTTGTAAAGCCTAATCACATTCCCACACAGTTATTACATCAAGACCACAGTAAGTTAGCAGGCTCAGTTGCCAGCTCACTGTTAACAAAATAACAGACTACGGCAATAAACAGTGTTATTCATGATTCTCAGGCCTTATTTCTAACAGGAGTCCTGACTAACTTGCATGTCACTCCAGAATATGGTACCTTGAAAACAAAAGAATGTAAAATAGCCTTACAACTTAAGAACAAACCAAGAAAAAAAACCCAGTAGCCCTATAAAGGTAGCATATTAAAATAGGTGGGTTTTTTTGTTGTTGTTGTTTGTTTGTTTGTTTTTTTTAATGAAGACTGTTTCTAGTCTCTGACTGCTTGCAGGATATTGTATTACCTAACGTAAAAATATGAGAAAGCACAATATTAAACACTGCTATGTTAAAAGTCACTTACTTCCTACCCAAAATATCTTATACATGCTCCAAAGTTTTTCTGTAAATTCTGCTACCTGCTACATTACTGTATAAACTCTAGCCTTAATGAGTTATAGTCAATTTTAATAGAATCATTAATTGAGAGACTTTTCAATCAAGTCCGTCTCTCCTAAGAAAAAACTGCTTGCTACAGTATGTTTTTTACGACTGTAATGAAGCCAGCTCTCAATTCACTAGACTTGGTATACAGTTAGATACTCAGTTCTGCATCAAAGTGTTAGGTTTGTATTCAGTTCTCAATATGCAGACAGAATAGAACAGGCAGAAACACTTGCCACAGAAAATCTTGACCACAAACACTGAAGATTCCTGAGTATTTCATAAAAAGAAAAATTATGGACCACTAATCACCACATGCATTTTTACAGCACTTATTGCAGAAGTATCCAGATGCTCACATGCCTCTCAGCTTTGTATTACAGTAGTGTTTTGTCATTCTACCAGTAGGCATACTTAAGGTGCTGAAGTAAATAACTCGGGAAGTAGATGAGGGAGACAAATTAAAAACCAATACTGGTAGACAAATTCTTTAAGTCATATGCAAAAAGACTTAAGTATATCTTTTTCAAAAACTAACATTCAGTACCTTTTTAAATTTTCCTTGTCGCTTTGCTGCAGACTGCCCCTGGGAGTTAGAATAACATACTGTAAGAAAACATGCACACACCACACAGGATGGAGACACCTTCTCTGTACAATTATGGTTATACTTTCAACCTACAGATTTTTAAACGTTTAGAGAGTCACAACTATGGTCAAACATGCTCTTAAAGCATGCTCTTTCAGGTTTTTAAAATTAACAAAAGAATGCATTATTGTGTATACAGTCCATTATTCCTGTAAGACAAGCAAGTGTTGTTAACCACTTAGCTTAAATTAATAAATTACAGAAATTCAGCCTCAAAAGTGTAGATTTTAGATTCTGACTGTTTAGTGGCATTGTTCTTTCCATAATAAATATACAGAAATTAGATATATTTTCTCTCACATTGCATCCGCTTGCTGACCTAGAGACAACTTTTGCTGCCTAGTCCTTTTTTGTCTTCTGGTACATACTGAGGATCTCTAAAGGCAGCAAGAAAGTATCTGATGCTACTTGATACCATCCTTTTTCCAGTTAAATATGACCATAACAGTAATGCCTTAGATTATGACATGAGACATGCCTCAGCTAGAATTTCTCTCCATGTAAGCTCTTAAGTATTCTTCATCACATGAAATTTGACAGGCAATACCTACCTCCCTCCTACTTCCCATCCCAGAAATCGCTGTATATAACCACTTAAGTCTCATTTTAAAATAAGATAGATGAGAATCACAACCAATAGTTCAAGGAAGTGCAGAATTCAAGATAGGGAAACTATACTACCCTACTGTAATGGATTTACCATGGATTTCATAAAAGTATACTTGCAACCTTGCAGGAATCACAAAGAAATATAAAACCAAGTATTTTAGAATTCTTACTGTTTTTTTTTCCCCTCACTGATGCATAAATTCTCCTGACAGACATTATCTAACCTGCAGTTACATGCAATCTGCCCCAAAATTACTACCTACAACCAAATCAGATTGAATGAACTGAACTCTTCTATTCAACGAGATCTAAAGGTATGTGCCCACCTACAGAAACTTAGTTTCTATGAAAACATACTCTAGTTTTATACGTGTTGTTCAGCGACATCTAGTGATATATGGACATAGATGAACTACCTCTAAATACTAACAATCACCAGGACTGATTCAAATTTATTCTCGGCTTTGCCATCTATTTAAAAATAGCTATGGGAATCTTCTAAATACCTTAGTGCCAGATACACACAAGAGTGATCTGGTTACTATAATCACTGTTGCACTATAGTTTCATACAAGTTAGAAACCAGTCTTTACAGGATGCTGCATTATGAGTAAAATAACCCTACAGCTTTTTTCTAGCATCACATACAGAGATCTTGCATCATTCTGTTGGAGCATACAGTCATATTAGTGGTTGACAACATCAGTGTGCAGAACATAAGAATATCTGATTATGCATTTGAGTCAGCAAAATTCCTACTACTTTGTAACAGTAACATGTAGGTGTTAAGAAAGCACATATTTTTCCCGAAAATTGTATGCATGCAAGGAAGAGTATAGCTGTTTATTAAAGAACCAACATGCACAAAACACAATATATATGCACATATTTTTTTCATTCAAAAATTATACTAAGCTAGGCAATTACACAAAATCACTTTTAAAGGCTCCACACCAACAAAAAAGCAGCTGCTTCTAGAAATACAAGGATTCAGAGCGGAAGAATTAGAATTCAAAATTTAGAAAATGAAATTAAATTTGAAATTATAAGATGAAAATAAAAATAGAACTACTTAGAAGTTACTCTGACTTTATAATGAAACAACTGCTTCTAAAATGTGTTATGTTACTAAACCTAGTGCTCTTTAAGTACTAAAACCATGAAATACAGCACTTCCTGGCATGCCATTTACTTGCTTCAAAAGCTTCAGAAAAAGAAGTCATCATCCATTTCAAATACTCACAGCTTTCTTTCCAAGTTCTGTTTTAGACAGGGTAAGAGCTCCTGCAAGATAACAACCTGGTCCTGCTCCTTTAGGTATTCTATTCAAAGAAAGAAAATTCAGTATTAAAACCAGGTTCATTAAATGTTCCATGGGGACTACAACAAAGAACCCAAACAGCGAAAGAGCAACACAAGAGGAATTACCAAGCCTAAACAGGTAGACACTATCAAAGTATCAATTTAGTTAGGTGCACAGGCAGCTGGTTAGATGTAGATGGGAAAAACAGGACTTCAGTAACTTACTTGTCGTCAGGCAGAGATGTAACAAAGAATGGCTGACTGTGTTTTGGTGGTAATGTCAAACTGTTGGATTTCTTCTTTCCTAAGAGAGCAAGGCTATGGTTTTCATAAATATCTAAGCTCAAGGTACTAGACAACCTGTGAGAAACAATAAATGGAAGGTCTTTGATGCGATCCAGCTCACTGTTCTGTTCGTGACGAATTTGTAACCGAATAGTGTAATCTCCTTTTTCCAGTTTCACAGAATACTGAAAGAAAGAAGCTCTCATAAATGTCAAGATTAAATATTTCACCATTCACAAAGAAACCCAGAAACAAGACTGTCATGTTCTTCTTGATCCATAGCCATTTAAAATATGCTAGATTGCTTAGTTTTGGAATCTCCTGAAGACAGAGTGCTTTCAAGACTTGATAGCAGCCAAAACACATTTTGGATTGACTGAAAAAAAAATTAAGTTTTCAGACCACAAAATAGGCTGACACCATTTGTTCCTATTCTAACACTGTATTAAGTGCTCAAATAATAATCAGAATTCTTGCTAAACTTTCAGTTCAAAACCTCTAGCAGGTTTGCCTTGATACACTTTCAGTTTACTGTGTAACTTTGGGTGCTCTGTGGTTTAGGTCGCAAGATATCTTCTACTGTCTCAAACATTGTACCAGCTTTCACACCGAGAGACCCAGTATTCCTGTGAGATTTAAGGCTGCAGTTTAAAGAGTTGACAGACTCTTTGCCCTGAGCTTTTTACATATTCAGTTAGGAATATGCAGATAACACCATCTCGATTTAGTAAAAAAAACAAAAACAAAACAAAAACAATCTGCCCTCCAACCCCCCAAAACCCCAGACTCTCAAATCCTTAGTTTTGAAAACATTCTTTCATTTCTATCAACCTAAAAGGGCACCATGTGGATGTTTTGAGCAGTAACATGCTAAGTTTCCTTTCTGCTGCTGCTGCTATAATCCAAAAAGGCAGCCCTAAGTAGAAAGGGACAATAGTTCAGAACTACCCTGCTCCCAGAATGTCCCTCTCCTGGGTTAGGGAGTCATGCTTCTTTTTGGTATTTCTTCATGGATTAAATAATTTTGAATTGCTTTAGAATTGTTCTGTGATGCACAAAACCAGAGATTTACAGTGTGGTGGTCAACCAGGTGTAAAGTAACAGACTACTTTGGTGATTTTTAGATTTTATTGCACCTTAAAAACGCAGGGTAAGGAACAGAAGTTTAAATAATACAATTTCTGAAATTCATTTATAAGATTCAAAAGACATGCTTTAAAGTTGATCTTTTGTACACTTCCAGAACTATCAATCCATCAAAATAAACATTACATTGATGAAGTTCGACTGTGATTTTGGATTGCTAAAAAATAGTTTCAAAACCAAAAACCTATGGAAAATGTTTCTCTTATGCCTTTTTTTTTTTCTTCTTTTTTATTCACTCTGCTCCCACCCCTGGCACAATCCAGACACACGGTCTGTTCCAGCAGAAAGAGATTCCCACAGAGAGTACAGTATCCACAAGTCTTGTGCAAAAAAATCCCTTTGAAAGACAGCAACAGGAAGTAAACCAAGCTATAGCATTTAAAAGGCTGTTGGAAGACATCAACAGCACAGAAGACAGCCTTCATGGATACAGAAGCCTCTGATCTATCAGTGGACAAGTCAAAATTACAGAAAAAAATATGGATCCTTTCCACCTTAAATATAAAAGTTCAAGGTATCACCTTTGTAAAAAAGCCAAACATATAGACAACAAGAACTTGAATTCACTTCTTGAGAAGCACCAGTCAAAATCACAAGAAATCACAAGTTAACAGCTTTTTGTAGAAATAAAACACACCATAACTCTTTCTCCTTCCTTGGAAGAGAAAAAAAATTGTAATGTTCTATTTCATGGAAAAAAACCTGTCATTACTTTTTTTCAGACAAATATATCACCACTGAACCTGTCTTCTTGTGAAGATATAAGAACATTATTCCTATGCATCAGGAAACATTAGGAGCTAACAGCAGGCCTGGGAGGTGAAAAAGAATGAAAATTTTCATACTGTGCAGAAAACAGAAGGTAAAATAAATACATTACTCTTTACCTGGTGTGGATAGGCATCTCCTGAACCCATTTGTCTTTTGTTCTGGTCAAAAATAATCCACAGTTGACTATCAAATTCAGATTCATACAACAATTCACAAAGAAGTGGACAGCTTGGAGTTACTTCTCCACTCTTAGGCTATTAAAAGAAAGGTCAGAACATTTAATCCAATATTGAATAAAACCAGTACAGTCCTTACACACACATTCAAAAGGACACCTGCACTAAATCCCATTTCAAGCAACAGTAGCTCCTGAAGAGAACCAAATCAGAATTTTGACTGTAGAGAGTCTAGAGTTTTAATCTAGACCTTGTTTCTGACAGAAAACTAGTTAAAAGTTAAAATCTGGTTTTAGAAAACATGCTGTATTTATTACAGACTTTAAAAAAAAAAAACAACAAACAACCACCCATAACCCTTACCTGGTGAAAGTTATAGGTCAAAATCATCTCATACAGTTGACGATTATTTGGTAAAATATCTCTGGAGCCCAAAGGTTTTATTTTTGCACTCACTGGTCTGCAGTTGAACGACAAAAAACAACAGAAGGTACTCTTAAGAACATGTATCCTCTATCAAAATTTGTCTTGCTTAAGCAGAAGCATATTCTGAAGTACAACTGAATTCAGCACATGCAATAACATCACTTAAAAAATTGTAACTATCCAGGCAGCATAAATTTCCCAGTTGAAATGAATGTCAATTCAAAACCAAGATTTAGTGACATAACAGACACTGCCAAAGAAAGAAGCCAACAGAACTTAGCAAGCATGTCTAAATGCTCAAAATTAAAGGCCATTAAAAAAAAAAAAAAAAAAAAAAAAAAGGGAAAACCAACAGACTTCAGGATTTCAGGATTGGGGGGGGGCCAGAATCAAGTTACTTTACATCTCTAGAACCCATGCTGCAATCAGCACTTTTATTCATAGATTGAAAGATTAATGGCACAGTAATTAGAGAGCAGAATAAATAGTTGATAATTGTTTGTTATAGAAGGTTATATCAGAAGAGAATCTGTAAGAGGCATTACAGAAATCAGAGTAGTAACCCAGATGAACGTTAATATATACTACCCATATAGTAGTGTAGAAAATAAAAATTTTTCTATAAGATTCTGTCAGCTCTTTCATTGCCAAGAGCACAGACTAGTCACCCAGTAAAATACCTGTGCTGGGTCAGATAACAACTCCATTTAACCCAGGTTTCCTAGTCTGGCAGACACCAGATAGACTGCTGAGAGAAAACTTAAGAACCAAGTAATACCACGTGATATGTCTCCCTAATACTCACCCTGCCTCCAAGCATTTGAAACCCAAGAGACCTAATGAGAAGCCATTCGGTACTTTTTTTCCCCTCTGTGTTATGACTCATTACTTCATTCAAGAGACGCTATTCATGCTTTAATTTAAATACATAAATATTTCTCATTAGTTTACTTAACTGCAGTTAGTTTGTTTACTGTCAGATGAGTGCCTCAATTACAAGGAGATAAGAGCATCTCCATTTTACAAACCAACAATGAGGCAAAGATATATTAGGTGATTGTTTTATTTCCTCACTTAAGGCATATCAAATCAGTTATTTCTGAAACTAATATTAGGTGGCATGTTCATTAAACAATAAACTCTTAGTGACCTCAATTCCAGTTACAAGTGTCCAAAAGCCCCAGACAGAGCCCAAGGTCTCCACTGAGAGGTCCAAATAATGGAAAACTTTGGATTACTGACCACTGTGAAACCGTCTGGCTCAAGTCTTAAAAGTACTGCTTAAACTGTATGGCATTTCTTTTTCCTCCTGAAGTGACCAACTTTAGTAATGCTGCACTGGTTAGGAATTTTCCAACACAGCTTTTCCTCCAAATAAAGCACGTGTCAAACTGACAACAAGATAAACACAACTTTCCACACAAAATTCTGCACCAGATCCTACAAAAACACTTCCAATCAAGCAACAGAAAGACAGTTTTCCCAGGTGAAAATTGGGCAGGATCTGAAGCAGCTGCTTAGAAAAACAAAACCAAACTAAACCAAAACGTAGCACCAAGTACCTCTACAATTTATTTCTTTAGATATTAAAGTGCCTTTTACCTCTAAGTGTCTCCTTCGGAAGCAATGGAATTTTCTTGTAAATGTGTTTTTTGGTTGTTGTTTGTTTGTTTTTAAATTAGCTTAAGGAAAATAATTTGTATGGAAAAAGGCACCATAATTCTCAAATTTTGTCGAAGTTAAAAGGAACAAAAAAGACAAGGCTGAGAAATTTTATTCATTGATGCTTCCAAAACTACTTAAAAATTTGACAAGAATATTGTTCTCCTAAATGTCACTGTTAACTTGTTACTGTTTTAACTACTTACAAATAGTTTTCCCAGTGCATTTCCCCAGAAACTCTACCTGAGTGTTTGAACCCAGCTTTTCAGATTTATGCATGGAGCAATATCTTCATACTTCAACAGAGACTGAACATCAAATCGTACGATGCCTTCTGAAGCATGCTAAAGAAAAGAGTATATAACAATTATGTTTCTGTGCACTTATAACGTCAGATGTGGACCATCTGATACGTCCTTCAAAAATACAATGTAAGCTGTATTTATCTATACTATAAGTAGTAATACTGCGTGAGTCTGAAAGTGTCACAAGCTTATCTCTATTTTACAACAGCAGATACACTAGGACTTGCAAAACTTTAGCAACTGGAGCTGAAGTCTTATTTATATTTTTTCCCCTTAATAATTTAAGTACTTTGTACAGAACTGTACAAGTCACACTTTGTGCAGGGCTGGGTTTTGTTTGTGCATTTGTGACGATTTCTTTTGAGTATGTAGTTCAATAAATACACGTATTATTCATCTAGAATCTTAAAACAAGTATTTTATGGTGCTTCTGCTTAGGATATTATTACAGAATAGTTTACCTTTGTGAAAAGAAACAATACTACATACACAGGCTAGTGATAGGCAAAATCATTTGAAAACTTTTTTTCTAGCAGTATCCCATGACAAAGCCACCAGTATATCAGCACTATGAAAATTTATTTTATGAAAGTTACAGGTACTCAAGAATGAAGGGCAAAACTGTTTGGATTCTCTCATTTTTAACTCTCCATTGTTCAGTGCATGTAATCCTGCTGGGGTAACGGGAGCTGCTGTACACACCACTGCCACCAGCTCTTTCTTTTCCTGCTCTACTGGTTCAAGACCTGGTACCTTAGCACAACGCACCCACTCTTTTTTCTCCAGTTTATTCAGCTCTTAGAGCCTGACTACATCCAAATTCACCCATGGGACAGCTATAATTTGCTCTGGTCCTTAACTGAAAAAAAGGGAGAAGCCAGGATAAATCAGCATGGTGCTGCTTCATGTAGGTATTGCCATCTCAGCTCTCAAAGAGTCGAGCCAGGTTGCACAGGACAGCAAGGAACACAGGGGCAAGACAAAGTACTGTAAATATTATGAAACTAATGTCTTTAGCAATTTTTTCAATCTTTTCATATCACAGAGCCTTAGGAATTATGACACTGCCCATCCACTGTGTCTTCAACTGCCCTAAACAATGAATCTCAAGCCAATCGGCATATCTCAATAAAACACTGAACAGAAAATAAATTTTAATGACATTTTATTCTGAAAATGGTATTCACAGTATTGTCTTTTAGCAATGGTAGTCTAGATATTAAAGTTCAAGAACTGTGGTCCCAGCAAAGTTTATTCACATAAACACTTGCTAGTGTAAGTATAGTTACAATTTTAGCCTTTTAGTATGTCCTTTCCACTGGTTGGGTTTGGGTTTTTTGTTTAGTAGTTTGAGGGTTTTTTTCCTTTCTATTTCCCCCCCCTCTACTCATTTATAATGAAGAGGCATAGAAAAAAAAATTCATAAATAACAGTAGTGGGCATTTCAGTAGGACTGAACTCCTATCTGCCTATTTTTAAGAGAACACGTGAACATCTTATGTATAAAGATACTTTTAGTTTTTCTAAATGCAGGCAAGAATGGAGAAAAGCTTTTTTTATTCTGCGATACCATAGGACTTCAGAATAATTCAAAATAAACACACTGGAAAACTTACCATGTTTAGCTGAGGTGTAGCACAAAGTACACCATGGAAAGAAATTGTGTAATTAATGCTAACATCGCTAAGGCTTGCCCACCACCGAGCAACACAAAATTCAATGGTTTTTCCAGCCTGGGTGACAAAAGCACAAAGTTAGACTTAAGCTCCCATCTTCCTCCTCTATTCACCCCAGTCTCCCTCATCCGAAGCCAAAAGAATTGGAGCATAGCTCAAAAAAGACCCTGTAATGTCCAGTTTACACCAATTGTATAGGTTTGTACAGTACCAAGTAAGACATTATACTTGGTCCAGAAAACACAAGACAGCTCCAAAAAAATAGGATGACTGATGACCACATCAAAACAAAAAGTGCCGGGGATATAGCCTACAGAGAAAGGTACAGCTTTTAAATGTTACATCTTCCCTTCCTATCCTTCAAACTAGGCAGACAGGTTAGTTCATAGATGGGTTTCATATGTGTGCCCTAGAAAATGCGTATTAGAAAGAGATCCCACTCTCTACCTAAATAAAATAACATGAAGCTTGGGAGGTTTGGGGTTTTTTTGTTGTTGGTTTTGTTTTTTTAACTAGCATGATAAAATTCACAATGTGTCAGTAGGACAAACTTAGCTTAGGGTCCCCCATCTGACATTTTCAGAGGGTAATGGACTGAATAACACAGAAATCATAACCACTCTTACGCTTCAGAGCTATACAACAATCAAGCAAGGCAGGGGACAAACTTGAGAAGTGGACTCTGTCATCCACACCCCTGAACTGTTAGCTCACTCCGTGGTTCTGTTTTGGACTCTTGAGCTAGCGTTATTCAAGCTGAGCCTGCTGTATCTAAGCAGTATGAATATAAGCCAGTTAGTTATCACCTGGCTTCAACATCACGGAGATGTCCTAGATTACCACATGAAGCACTAAAGGCAAAATATGCTGAACTTCATCTATCCAGCAAGTCATAGCCCCTTTTTGAAAGGGAAACAAACTGGTTTGTATAAACAAGTACCAACACATTGAAGAGATTAACACGATTTATAAAGGCATTACCAAATAATTAAGAAACACTAGCAAGCTATTAGAGATTTTTTCCAAACTGAAAACCAGATGCATTCACTACTGTAACAAACGTGTGATTTCTTAGGCTTGGGGTTTTTACTTCGGGAAAAAAAAAATCCCAAATGAGTTATGTTATACTGCACTGATATATTACTTTCTCTCTCTTCCCCCATGCCACCTTAAGGTAACTTACTAAGACAGGAAATGCTTCAGTCACTGATCCTTTTTCTGGTAAGGATGAAAATTTGTAGAACTCATGACTTCTATATGCTTTTTGTTTCACTAGCTGAACAGCATGAAGCACAAATTTGGCAGTCACATCAGCTGAACACGAACATACTGTCACTTCTAGATTAAAGAAAAATAAGTTTAGTTTCAAGAGCCAAGAATTTTAGAAGGAAAGCAGAAAAACACTAGTTTCAAAAGTAATTTGTAATTTAAGAAGTTATACAGTACCCCAAGTGGCTCCATGTGTGAATAATGCTTATATATCAGTTATTTACACAGACCCTTTCAGATTAAGGAAAACTAGCTAACTTCAGAGATCAGTTAAGAGAAACATGACTTGACTAAATGGTGAAAATTAATCAGATAGTACAGCTGCATAATCCATACAGGACAGACTGCTGCTGAATTCCAAATTAAGAGTCTTATCACTAACTTTGGTCTAAATGAAAGATTCTTGAAAGGATTATCATTTAGTAATCTCACACAGGAAGATGAGGAAAAAACCTTTTTTTTTTTTCCCTCCTTGCAGAATTATGAGCTACTTCCCCATAATGAAAATCACATTTTCTTCAGTTAAGACACCTTTCAACACTACATCCATACACCTTAAAAACTAGGCAAACCTCAGACAGTAATACTTTTCCATAAACATGGGGTATTCCTCCAGTTATGGGCAATCACTTCAGGTTGTATTTGCTGGTTTCTAGAAGACTTAAGAATCAGGATTCTACTATATCAGAACCCATGAGATAACTTAAAATCACTCCTCTAAGAGCTTAAAATCAAATAAATATTTTACATATTCATGGATCAAATCCTTCAGTTCCTATTCAGGAAGAACTCAAAATGATTTCAGAACAACTTTGTCAAGTCTGACAGATGTGATTTTTTTTTTATTTAATTAATGTGGTTATTTTCCTTACCAGCCCACGTAGCTCCCTGTGGAACATCAATGAAATGCCTTCGGATTTGACCAGGTTTAAAATGAACATCTGTATACGTCAGGTCATAGCTTGACGATTCATCTACTCTGTATGTCAAAAAAACCCACAAACACTAATCAAACAAGCTGTGAAGCCCCCTTTTTTTTAAAAAAGTATTTTTAAATGCAAAAATGCTCTCAAAAAAAAGTGTACAATGAGGATATTTAGTCCTCAGCACCAACTATTTTAATCCATACTAGTAGAGAATCTGACAGCACAATGTATCTAAGATTTAAAACATCAGCTCCATCACATTATGTAGACACCCTCCCCGCCTCCCTGAAGTTACTGTGCTTAAACATAAGTATCAAAGAATCATAGTTTTCAGTGGATCTGCTTTTCCTGGCTGAGTGACTTTCCACTAAAGTGAGCTAAGGTATGTAAGAAGTAATATTTCTATGAATGAGTTAGAGGGAAAAAAGTTACTTTTTTTTTTTCCCTCAGGGCAGATTGTCCACTGAATAGGCTTAATAAGATACTCTCCTTCCTTATCAACATCACAAGGAAAAAACCTAAACCAATGATGAGCACAATAATTCACCAAATAATGTCCCCTCTCTAAATTCACCAAATAATGTCCCCTGCCTTTATGTGCTCTAGTCCACCAGTTAGAAATGAAAAAACAAACTCCAGTTGACCTACACCTATGAATATATCCATTGATACTTTGGTCAGCCAGCCAGAAGTCATCTGTATTCTGATGGATGACGAAGCTGCTGCCACTGTGGCTAAGCCCACCAGAACACACTGCCTTCTGGCTGCCGGGACCAAAACTACAAAAAAGCCATTGCTGTGTAAGTCTGCTGCGAGCTTCATTTCAGATCTCTGCTCCCTTACCAATGTTAGTAGTAAGTTCAAGAACTCCCAGAGAAAGAAGGTGGTGAAATAAATGACAACAAGTAAAGTGGGTACAGAAAACTAAACTAAACTTAAAAAATGCAGATAAAGCCTGTGTTTACTGACCTTGTTGGTATAACAACAGTTATTGGAACTCTGAACAGAGGGCCTGCATTAGGCATTGCTATATCATATCCACACACCTAAGAACATAAAATACAGACACTTAAAATCTTTGGTCAAAATGATATTACAGAAAACAACATTAAACTTAAACTAGTTCCAGAGTATTTTGCATCTCTGTAGCTATCACTGAGAAGGGAAAAAAAAAAAAAAAAAAAAAAAAAAAATCTTCATTTGACCACTGTCACCCTAGAAATAATAAAACAGCAACATTCACCAAGAAAAAAAAAAAAAATTAGTTTTCACACTTATTTCAGTCTTTCCCCCAGAAGTTTTCAAGCTTTTGACCCACATTTGATAGTCCCTATATCAAAAGCTCAACCTAGTTTCAACTCAGAATTTGTCCCAAACAGCCTTATTATTTCATTTCAGCTATTTTTGTTGTTGTATTAAAAATATTTTAATCCTTGTTTTCCAGGATTATGTTTGAGAAAATACAGTTTGATTTACTACACCTTTCATGGCCAAGCGTTAAATACTATCCCTGAAAATTTGTTCTATCATCACTTTGCTAAAATGTTCTCAGTGGTACCTTAGAAGACTCGCAACTCTAAGCATCTTAAGCAAGTCATTTCTAAAAAGAAAGCTGACATCATCTTCATTATGATCAACTACAACGCAACAGAAACATTTCAATGTTAATATAAGGCTTGGGATGAGGATGGAGAGGGCTGAAAAATATTTTTTGTTGGTGGGTTTCTTTTGCAGGAGGGAAGGAGGATGGTTGGGAGAGAAAATGAGAAATTTAATGGTTTCGTATTAAATTTGTCCAAATTTGAACGTAGCAGCTCGAAGTCAGCAAAATGCTTCTGCTGTACACAGCCATTACCACCCATTTTTCTCCTTCATCTTCCAAAATGGGACAGCGTAGATGTGAGGAAACAGGTTGCATCACTGTGCCCAAGCAACTCCTCAAGGTAAAGCAAAATCTTGGGTTCACATAAGACTGCATGGCAACACCACAAAAAGCTAGGCCAGTCCTCAAGCCACCACAGAAAGAGAAATATTTAAGACCTTATAAAAACACAAATCTCTGTCCTCAACAATAATACAGGACCAAGCCAGATAGTCAAAGGTGAAAATATATCCAGAAAAAAACAAACCCTTAATGAATGGTTATTTATTTGGTTTATATTTCTATATGCTTTTGTTTTTTAAACATAGCAATAGTTCTGCTATACAAAGTCCCATTGGCATGTGCTATACAACACTGTATAGCAGAACTATTGCTGAACCCTATATTCAGCCTGTATAGTGAAATGGAGCATGGCAGTATTTTCTCCTCTGTACAGCACACAGCTTATGTCCTTAAAAATTACTTCCATAAAAAGCTGCTAGAAACCACATGAAAAGGAAAGGGCACACAATCTTGCTTAGAACACCAATACTTCAATACCTCTGTATAATGCAGTCCTTCTCTCAGGCCACGTGGATCCACACGAATATTTATGTGTCGACACTGGTTCATAAGCTCTAAATGACTAGGACACTGGACCCATGGTGCATTTGAAGTTAAAGCTAAATGAAGCTGAAGAGATATTCTTTCAGTGTTCTCTGTCAAGAAACAAATTTAAAAAACAGTTCAATAACACAAATATGTGCTCATATTCTACTATAACACAGTATTTGCCATTAAAATGTACACACCAATAAAACGTAATAGGAGCCAACTCCTTAGCGCCCCTGGATGTCAGATTCTCCACAAAGGACAGCGTTCTATATTATTTCTTTTAACTTGAGGAAAACAGAATAGCAGCAGTGTACAGTAAAATAAAGGTTGTACCCAACTTTGAAATCCCCACCCCCACCCCCCCGAAAGCTTAACAAAGTCAAAGGTAGGCTGGTAAACAATGCTTCAGTTACCCGCAACATAGTCTCGAAGCAGGTATAAACTTCCTTGTATAGATAAAAAAGTCTTGCCTAATGCAGAGAATTACAATAAAAAGCAATTGCACTGATTACGAAGGTTATGCTACTTACCAAATTACATTATAGAGTAACCTAAGCGAGAGGTGAAGTCTATTAAAAAATTACTATGATGATCTAGTCTGACTTTGCAAACAGTCAATTTAGCCAATTTCAAAAATTAGCTTCCATGTCAAAAAAGCTATGGGTTAAAGCACAACTTCCAGAAAAGCATCCAACCCTAGCTGAAATGTTTTAATGATTAAAAACCAGCTTTCTCCTGCTCTAAAGATTAATGACACTTTGAAAAAAGATTTCCACATTTCCTAGTCCTAATTAACCTTAGCTTAATTTTCAGACATTTCATTACATCTTTGTTAAGTAGAGAAAAGAGCACTCTATTACTAGATTTAATTCCCTCAGGTACATGAGAAACAACAAAAGCTAAAAGAGAACTTCAACAGACAGATTGAGCAGATCAGCCTCCCTTAACCTCTTACTAGTTTCTCAAACTCAGTCTTGTTGAAGACACCAGACACAGCACAGAAATAACAACTGGACAGGTACTAGGGAAACAAGATCGCGCTACAAGCTAGTCATCTAATACAAACCTCTAACTATTTTTTCAGATCGTTTGCTTCCTGCAGAAGTGTCTATCATACGATTATTTTATTTCGCCATGTCATACGGTAAATTTAAAAAGCACCAATTGCAACGTAACCTGTCAAACAACTAAATTACTCTGAGTCAGTAACCTGTTCCGATTCATACCCTTTCTTCCCCTAAACAAACTCATTCCTTTGTCACATGCCAACCTTCTTGGGGATCACCAGTTTTAGGAAAGGAGTTAATCTCAGTAACCAGCTCTCACATGGATCATTTTTTGAATACAGTGTAATTCCGTCTCTCAGTGAGTTCCAATTTGTATTTAATAAAGTAAAGCAGAGCAAAATGGTTTATGGAGAAAAGATGTCAAACCTTATTTTGATATGCACAAGTTACTTTTACCCTGTTAGTAAGTAACAAAAACTTGCATCACTTCCTGTATTCCCTTTAGATATATCTATGTTTATCCATTATCAGATACTGAATGTAAGTCTAGTTTGTTAAACTAAGATTTTTCTCAGGTTGTGGAAACTTAGATAAAGTCCAAATCTAGAATTTAGTCTTTAAATAACTGAGAAACTAATTTCTGGGTAAGTTCTTTCATCTTTAGAACAGTATCCAGTTTTTGTCAAGAATTACCTACAACAAAACCCCTGAAGTGCTACAATTTCATGAAACATTAGGGATATTTGATTATTCTTCCATATTCTTCCCTGGCCCCACAACTTTGCTTTAAATTTCTTCAGAACAAAGACAGATCTCTTTTTTCAGTGAGAAGTATGAAGCAACAGACCCCCCCAAAACATGGAAGTGCTGCAGTTATAAGTCTGAGGTTAGAATGGAGGAGTTGTTTAGCTGCATGCCTTCATTTACCGTGAAATTTAGAGCTGTGCTTACTCTTTTTACAGTAGATTCCTATCACTCCTCATTATCACATCTTTTTTTTTTTTTTTTTTTTACAGATTACACTTTATTCCCCCCCACCCCAGCATACAAAAGCTCTTTCCTACCTGTATTCTCAGGAAAGACAGGTTCTATGCCAACCCCATGATCAGAAGGTGCAGCTATCTGGGCAGGATCTCTGAGGTAGATTCCACGGTTGCTGCCGACAGTAACTGTAAAGCCTATGTTACTTGTGAATGATGAATTCTGAATGAGGTAGTCATAGGCTTTATCAACCTGTTAGAAAGAACACATTCTAAATTAACAAATTTCAACTTATGCATATTTTCTTCAACTTATGCATATTATCTTCAACATGAAGTGTTCAGCAAGCACAACAACAAACAGTGAAGTAACTCATGTGCTACCTGAGCCACGCTGATTGCGCCTTACACAATACTCAGTATAGAAAATGAGGCAGCATTTTCAGTCTGCAACAGCCACACAGAGCACAGAAAGTCAAGAACATTTAAAAAAAGACAAATCTCCTTTGCTATAAATCCATCAAAAGATGAGCAACAAAAGTTTTCAGAGATGACTTCAAAGACAAAGAGGACTTCAAAGGCCCAGACCTACTATACTAATTTAGGTGCCTTTCTCATATGTGGAGCAACACTAGTTAAGCATTTAAATCTTTTATACAATACAAGAAGTTGAGCAGTTCAAAAGAGACAAGCAATATGGGATGCCCATATAAGTTTTATATATTGACATAAGAGAATCAGGTCGTAAAATCCAGCCCTGGATTTAAGTAAATGAGCTGACACAGTAAACGCAGATGACAAGTTCACCTTTTTGTTTTAAAAAGACACCCTTCTATCTTGCTTTCTATTCTATTGGCTCCAAAAATCTTACATTCACTTCTCCTTCACAGCAAGCTACCTTTACCAGTGGAGATTAGGGCACTTTCCTTTGAGACAAGTGGACATACAACAGACTCAGTCTCCGAGATCAGAGTTTTAACCACATGTTTTAGCACGTTTTAATCACAGACTACTCAACCAGAAGGTATGACCGGTGCATTTCATTTTTCGGTGGCAATGTTTTTTGATACAGCTACCACCATTGTTGCCTTCTGTATCAAACTCAGTGTTACAGATGTGCTTAGTGGATGTTACCTACTAGGTTCTAGCATCTCCAGAACGTGAGTTTAGGGCTAAGCATTTAATATCTAGCATCTTTAAGCATGACAGCAAAATCTCAGTAACTCTGTCTGGCTAGGATGGGAGTGACTGTAGGCAAAAAACAGCAGCAGCTCTTGAAGAACCTAGGCTTATGCACAGGGAGACTGTCATTCACTATGCCTTCATACAAAGGATCATATCACAGATTTCCAAGCTATTTAGAAGTCCACAGGACACAATGAACACTCAAACTTTTCAGTGCAGGCCCAGAGCAAAGTCATCGCACAACTTCAGCTGTGCTGCTTTGTGAACCAGTGTGGGTATCTCTATTTTCACTGCCCAGAACTTACAGTTCCAGCTTTTGTCCGCACAGAACCAGTTCAGCTCTCTCTGACAATAGCAGAAAAACATTTTTGGACATTAGGACAGAACTTAGGCATCCAAACCCACACGTGGGTGATAAGAACCCACATCCCACTTTTATGTCCACATACCTTTTTGATCAGTCTAAGAATGTGTCTAGCTAACACATTCATTCTACAATAATGGCATGCTGAAACTGAAAGAACAGTCTCATTCCTCCTCCCCTCCCACTACATTCCCTTCTTCTCCCTCAGTCAGATCTGAGAATCAAGTAGCAAGGGAGCAAACTGAGCAAGCTCATATAGAAAGCTGCTCTTTTTTTGTGGCTTAGTTTTCCACTGGTAGTTATTTACATTGTGTTGGTTTTTTTGCTAGCAAGTACCTGAATAATACCGTGTCCTTGTGCAAATACTTCTATGTTTTCAGCTTTCACTGCAGTATTTTCTAAAGCTCTTCTGACAGAATGAACAGTGTAATGAATATCATTAGCTTTGAGCCCTGAAATTAAAAATAAGGGTATTATTGGATACAACAAAAAATTTGAAAGTTAAAGCATTTTTTTTTTAAGAGAAAAAAATATCTAATCTCTTTTAGACTATGCATCTATATTTAACACTGTAGCACATTACCTGACAACACTAATGCAATGCCTCCACATGCATTGGGAGAAGACATGGATGTGCCATTCATGAGTTGTGTTCCTCGCAGAGTCCAGTTTGGAACAGAAGCAATAGCACCTCCTGGGGCGCTGATACTTACTCCAAGGGCTCCATCAGTGCTAGTGTTAAAACAGAATGGTTGAAAAACAAACATTCTTGTCTGCACTCTTTATCTTAAAGTTATCTGTACACTTAAATAATTTTAGCTTTAGGGAACATTCACAAATATATTACTTCACTAAAGCCATTAACCCATTAAACCCAAGAAAAATCATACCACTAAGTAGCAATTTAAAATGTCACATTAATCATCAGCTATTCCTGTTTTACAATGAAAGTTTTCTAAAAAAACTTTCACTCCTTCAATATTCTTCATCAGGCTTCAGTTTAGTCAGCAGAATATCTTCTGGGATTTGAATTAGAAAATGCACACAAACAAACCTATTAAACAACACTTCAGTACATAAATTAGTATTCTACATAGCCTATTTAACAGTTACTATTTTTAAAGAAAAACAGTAAAAAGGAGGGGAAGATTAGAAAAGATCCAAAATCCAGATCTGTAATTTTGCATGCTGCCACTTCACTACCAGGTCAAATTCTGAATTACAGTACAGAACCTGAGACAAGGAGAGCAAGGGGAGAAGACAAAAAAAGGAATGTCAAGCGGTGGATCAGGATCAGCTGGGCCTAAGCTACCTTTCTTTCTTGCCCAAGCGTATTTAAGAGCAGCGCAAGTACCTATGGCACAGTTAAAGCAGCATCTAGTTTTCAACCGTACGAGCCAGATATACTCCCATCTTCCTTGCTCTGGATAGACAAAAATTGCACCACTTGAATAAGGACAACATTGTGCCTGAGCTATTAAGTTCTGTGGAGAAGCAGGGTAGTTATATCCCACACTAACAGCTTCATATATCTAAAATCTGTCTCAAGTCAGAGTATTCTCAGTATGATATTGTAATATAATGTTTGGACATATTTTATGATAGCCCCATATAAACAACAGGTTCTATATCATGACACTTCTGGCCAAGCAGTGCGCACACAGTGTATCTGCCCGAAAGCCTCTACTGCTTACTCGGACAGACTGATCCCCTACCCCAAGCCTGCTCTAGCAAAGCTTTAGGAACTCTCCAGTCACCTGCATGTTGCGTCCTACACAAGGGGAATCCGCCTTTGGCCAGACTTCGGCCTTTCAGCTGACACATGCTCATTCTGACTACTTTACGATGCAAAGCGATAAAGTACACAAAATGTAGTTTTTATATATATATATATGTGTGTGTGTGTGTGTTTGTATATCAATATTAATTGAAACATGATAATTCTACACAATAAGGTTCTTGGAACAATATACTTGCCTGTAAATATACAAACACCACGACAGCTAACTTTGAAGACCAATGCTAATAGGGAAGCATTTGCTATGTAATCCGCAAATAAATCAAGGACCAACCGCAAGCTATGTTTTTTATTTTTTTCCTTCACCCAATACTATTGTAGGCTAAACTACAAAAGACAGTATACAGTAACTCCATGACTCGCAAGAACAATTCCAAAGTCTAAACACAGGCAAGAACTCAGGAAGACATGCTATTCTTTTTTTCTCCTTTTGTCTATCACATTACTATCAAATGCTTCTGAGACATGAAATAAACATTGAAGCTTTCATTGCCCCTAAATTTTCCTTTATAGCTCTTTGAGATAATTTTCTATAACGTGAGGTAGAAAAGCTTTTTCTGCCTACTCACACCTCTACTGGACTCAACCAAAACCTTTGAGTAAGTTGTGCCATCACAGAAATGTCACTGAAGGCAGAAGTAACACCACTGCAGTAACAGTATTTCTTTTAATCAACACTAACAGAACAGTTAACTTCACCAGACTAACTTAATGAAATAAATGCTACGGAAAAAATCCTCTGAAAAAATAAATTTCAGAAAAAGGACAAATTCAAGAACTTTTATCATCACTGAATAGGTTTGCACTCATCAAATATATTTTCCTGAAACATACAGGCTGTGCTGAGGCAGTTCAGTGGTCTACCCCTCCCCCAGGAGTTCTAGATCCCAACATACAAAGGCCTTCCAAGAACAGCAGGCTACCTACGCTC